TCACTGTACTGATTACCTGGTGTGTGTGCGGGTGTGTGTGTGTGTGTGTATGTGTGTGTGTGTGTGTGTGTGTGGTAGCAGTAGCAGTTGTCTACATGTCCAAATGTCTCCGTGATGTGTGCGTCTAAGCAGTAAACACGTCTTCAAGTGTGTGTGTCATGTAGAAATCCACAATCAAGGGTGATGAGGGCCTGCAGTACAAACAGACATGCACACAGACACACACACGCACACACATGCACACACACACACATGCACACACATGCACACAGACCCATAAAGCAAACAAATACGTCCTAATTGCCTGCAAACACAAAGGGACTGAGGGGCGGGAGGAGGTGAGGTTGTTTAGGCTTTGGAGCAGTTAACCCTTTTACCCCTGTGAAGGGAGAATGTAAGGAATCTGCTCACATGCCTGTGCATAACACACACACACACACACACACGCACACACACACACGCACACACGCCTTGGTGGAGTCTGCAGGAAATCCTTTGAAGGCCGCCGAGACACTCGCTTGTTATTAAGCGTCTGCCGTTGTGTGGCTGGTTAAACTTTAACTAATGGCCGACGCTCACACCTCTTGATGTTTGCTCTACGAGGTTCAAGTCTGGTCACAATAATGAGCGACGGCCACTTTTCAAGTCTGAAAAAGAAAAATGTCACATGCACATTTTTAACTGTTAAATCCACGAGTGAACACTGGTGCTGAATTAGTGGGGATTAGTTTTTACTATTGTTCAGCCAAACAGTGTCCTTTAGGAAATTAATCCCAGCAATCATTTTGATGTTCAAAGCTCGTGTGGACTATTTTGTTTTGCAGAAATGTGAAACGAATAATATCATTTCAACAGATTAATGATGGAACGTTCAATAAAGTCAAGCAGCTTCACTTCAGAGACAATTTACCTTTGGAGTCGTGAGAGACACAAATCCATCTGCTGCTTTGTATTTATTTGTTTATTCTGTCGATCAATCTTGTTCGGTCTTTATGTTGCATGTTGTTTTTCCTGTGTTGCATGATTTTTGCACTTTGACCCCACGAGAACCAACTTCTCCTTCAGCCGTTTGCTTCTCATGAGGATGAATGACGACAGCGGTGAACGTAAAAACTTGAAAGTTGAATTTGTCAGTGCTTTCTGACATTCTGCAGAGTAAGTGATATATTTATTAATTGGAAATGAGGTCAGGAGAGTAACAGAGCAGCAGCTTCTTATCTGTAGCACAGAGTACAATGGTCAGTTCTTCGGTAATGGCCCTGCAGCAGAAGAAATATATCTCAGCGATAAGCCGAGTGACAAGAGAAGAGTTTCTCCTCCTGTTCATCCGTCACCTCCTCTCTTTGTTTTAGTGTCTAATTATTCCACAGACTCTCGTGTTCTCCTGCAGACCTCCCATCCTCTCCTACGCTCCCTTCTTTCACCACACTTTGTTTTTCTCGTCTCTCTGCCAAAGTGAAAAAGTCCCTGTGTCTGTCCAGCACTCTCAGCTTTCTTTGCTCCTTTCGATTTCTTTTTCATGCCCTGCAAACACAGTAACGCACACACACACACACACATATGTAGGAAGCACCTCTGCATTTTTCCCCCTCCGAACAATAACAGTGTGGAACCCTGGGTATTATTTTAGCAGCCGTCCACCACTTTATCTGCTCTCCACAATACTTCCTCTCTCGCTGACTCACACATCCTGCCTGGGAGGGGGCGAGAGAGGCAGGGGAAGAATGAGATGAGGAGAGAGAGAGCGAGAGAGAGAGAGGGAGAGAGAGAGAGCAATGCAGAGTGCAGGAGGGAGAAATAGCCATGTTTTGTCTTCCAGCGAGAGGAGCGAGGGAGGAGGGGGAGAGGAAAAGGAGGGAGAGAGGGGATGTGAGGATCAGTCCCCTCCCGGTCAGAACCTGCCAGACACTTCACATGGACATCAGCTCTGTGACTCAAGTCGTACACCTTATGAACACCGACCCGTCGTCTCCCTCGCTAGACGCCGAGCGGCTTCAGGGCCGAACGGGAGGCGTTTCTTCTCGGGGAAACTTTTCAGGAGGATTTAGAGAAGTTCTCGTCGCCTGAGTGCGTTTGAATTCTTGACTCCTCGCACTTGAACTGCGGGTATCAGGGATGCTGGGAGCTGAACAGGGATCAGTGTGAGTGTGGATGCTTCTGTCCGTTGAATCTGGTACGTGTGAAAGTCGTCTGGCTTTTTATCAGTTAACTGTTATTAACAAAAAACACATCTCCTCCTCGTAACAGAAAATACTCCGTTTATTTATACTTTATTTCACTTTTTTGAGGATAAATGTGAAGTTAGCCTTGTTGTTGTCGACACTTTTTCGAGCTCCTCTTTAATTTTCTCCCAGGGACGACTTGTTGAGCACACGATGCACTTTGTCTCACTATGACACTATTATTCAAACCTCTTGTCATCGTGTCTTCAGTCTTTGAATCGTCTCCTATCTTCTCTGAAACCTTCTTCTCCTGTCAAAGTATTTCTACAACATGTCCTTATCTGTGAGACCGAGTCTCGTCCCACTGCCCCCTCTTGTCCTGCACTGTATTGAGACTGTGTGTGTGTGACTCAGATTATGCGTGTTGACCTTTGCGGCATCAGTCAGCTGTTGCAGTTTCTGACCATTAACTGGGACATTCCAGCAGCTCCTTCTCATAGAGGCGCATTCAGAGCTGCAGAGACCAAGAATTCACAATTTCTCTGGCTTTGACAGTCGTCGTCACTCATCGCCTCTTCCTCTTCTTCTTTCTCACCATTCGTCCCATATTCTCTGAAAGATTAGCTGCCATTACACACCTTGTCTCGCCGAACACTTGATTTCCATGTCTTGCAAACCTGATTTGATTTCCTGGCTCGTCGTGGTGGCAGCGACACCACAGCGGTGGCGGATTAACTCATTATCCCGTTTTTTTTTTTTTTTTTCATTTCAAGCACATGCTGTTATCTCTCGTGTGCCAGTGAATTATGTAAAAAAAAAAAATGTTTCATGTGACTCCTCTCTGCGAGTCAGCTGGGACATGTAGCCAACTGGGTTACAGTGTGAGAAACAGGAAGGGGCCGTTAGTTGGATTATTATAAACGTGTGCAGGCGACAGTGGCGTCGGTCGCTGTGGCCTGTTGGAGGGTTTGAGTCTGGCTTTGTTTCCTGTGTCCAATGAATGAAGGGGACAGACTTCACGGAGCCTCTGTGGATATCTCTGAACGCAGCCTCCACAAACACATCACTCTCCAAGTTTCGTTCCCACTGACTGAAGTCCTCAAAATAAATAACTGAGATACAGATTCAAGCCAAACAAGCCTCTTACACATTCTCTTTGGTGTTGAGCGGCTCACCTTTAAATGCACACAACACACTCTGGATCTATTATGTACGATATCACAGTGTGCGTTTGTTTTCTAAATCATATGAAAACGCACAGATTTATCAGTTGGTTGATAAAAATTGTCTGATGTGTGATATGTCACAGTCGTATCACATCAGTGTTTGTGTTCTCCCTCTCCTCAGGAGCATTTTCTTTAAATCATCGGTTGGTTATGTGGTCTGGACGGACTCCGCTCTTCTCCCCTGCGTTGCTGCAAACTCACTCACAAGCTTCCTGACGAAGACGACACATTTGTCATCATTTTTTCTTTCCTTACGTTCTGCTGTAACTTTGGCGTCACGTGGTTTGTTTTCATCTCTAAACGCTAAACTTGGAGAAAAAGAGGAGGTGGGGGGGGGGGTTCTGCAAATATTTGTTATAGGTGCGATAATGGTATTTTGTCTGGTTGAGTTTGGATAGTTCCCACACATATTCATACTCACACACACACACACACACAGGCTGTACATAAACTTTCTCAGGGGATAATTTAAGGACATTGTCAGCGGAGTCAAACAATCAGTGGGTTAAGATAGAAATCCCTCTTAAGGAGCCATAACCAGGAAGCAAGCGTGTTTATTTTGGAAATGGTTCTCCTTCTCCTGCTTTATCATAAACAATAATACTCAGAAATGGTCCTTTCCTTTCCCTCGTGGAGCCAGAATCCACATTCTTCTCCCAAAACTGTACCTCCAAATGTTTTTGTCTGAAAAATCCGGAACGGTCTCATTTTACATTTTTTGTTTGAGAATCTTAATCGTCGTCACTTTTTTTAAGAGGGGTCGTTGGGAGTGGAAACCCCCCCCCCCCAAATCTTGAACAGCCCTGAAAAATGTATATTGAAGATACTTTTTGTTTTGGTATTTTTACCAGCAAGTCTCATGTTTGTACCTCCGGTCTCTCAAGTCAACAGCTTTGGCAGTTTTATGTTTTCTTCACAAAGCTATTTTCATCCACCAGCAGAATTCCCACCCGTCTGAAATATACGATTCCCGACATAGATGTCCATTCAGACCCTGAGAATATTAAATCTACATGTGGTTGTTCTTTCTCTCTCTCTATCCTTGTGTCTAGCTCTTTTTTTGTCTCACACACACACACACACACACACACACAGTCTGCAGGGGTCTGAGTTGAATCTGGCCAGCACATGGTGTCGGACGTCTGAATGAGGGAATTAGTGAATATCTTGGGATACAGTGGAATGTCTGGCTGCGGGTACGACTGGAGAACTTACTGTACATGTGAGATGAGTTTTTAATGGAAGTCTAAACAACTGTGTAGGAAGCTGTTTCCACAGAATTTGAGTTGGCAAGGTTCAGTCACAGTAGGTCGAAGTTTTATGTTCACCCTCATGTTCCAAAACATTTACAACTGCTGCTGCATGTACGGAGGGATGTCATCTCAGCCGTCCTGCCTGGGCAGATCCTCTGGAGATGGACGAGAAGAGGTTGCAAAACATAAACGTGAAGGAAATCATATCATGACAAGCTTCATTTATCTTTAGCTGCTTTCAGATACGAAGTCCAGATGTTTTCCTGAAATTTTTTTTTTTGGGGTGATGCGTTGTGGATTAATGCATTGTGGGTCCTCAGCTGTCACCTCACCCGAGTTTCTCCCTCTCGTCTCCGCAGGCGCAACGTTCCTCTCCTCAGGCCTCACTCCTGGCACCTGGCGAAGCTGTCGGAGCTGCCCCTCCCGCCCCCTCCCCCGTCTCCTCCACCTCCTCCGACCTGCCTGCCCTCCGCCGACTCCCCTCCTGTCCCCCCGCCGCCGCCTCCGTCTGCCATGCAGCTCCACCCCGGCCCCTACACACTACCCTGGCACACAACTGACAACAGGTGAGACAACAACTCTCGTTGGGATTATCTAGAAACAGTGATTTTATTGTTGTGTGAAATCTTCGGGCCTCAGTCAGCGTTCAGCTTTAACCACACAGGGAGTGAGTCATGTTGCGGTGACATCAGCTGTGACGCGTCGCTGGGGATTTTGGCCCCTTAAAGCCAACAATCGCCAGGAAACAGGTGACATCAGCGTGTTCTTATGTCAACTCTGCCCACGCAGGAAGCTTATTGGTCTATTTCTGGATTCCATTACAACATTCCAAAGTGATAACCAGCCGCCCCTGGCGACCTGACCCTTTGTCTGACGTTTTTCAGCTGCCGCGGTGAAATCGGTGTGTTTGATTTGACCTTAAGTTTGAACAGAAGAAATCAGTAGTTTGTTATTAGTTTCTCAGCTTTCGCCTCCTTTTTACTTTTCTACCATCGCTGCCGTCACTGGAGACGTGTATCGTCGCAGTAGGGGCCAGTTATCGATTTGCTGTAATCACTCAGGGCTTTTCAAGCTCAAACCAGTAGTTTTATCTCAAGTACGCAGACTCCAGATGCATAAACGTCTGGTTTAAAAAGGCCAGATTATATTTTACGACTCAACCATTAAGGGTGAAATTTGATAACTTTGACAAATCATTCTGGCGAGTTCCTGCTGCTACTGATCTGATTTTCTTGGTGGAGTTTAGAACCCAAAGAACCCATTAACTTTTTGGAGCAGATTTGATTGAGGGTCTTTAACATTGTGGGACTTTTATCTCAAGGAATTACGCTGAGATTTCAGGCGTATTTAGGGGACTGATATCTGAGTGTGTACAATTCGGTGCAGCCTGATTGAATCTAAGAGGACTGATGGGCCGCTCTTGAATTCTCTTGCACTTTTCTGAAACTTAAATTTCCAGCAGAAATGTACCAAGAAGAAAATAACCCACATACAGAATAAAACTAGTTTTCAACCAGAATCTCTCTTAAATATTCAAACATGACTCAACAGTAGCCACCGTGAGAAACAGGCTATAGACCAAGACTGAGAGATTTTAATATTGTGATTTTATTGTTTATGTCATTAACCTTTTCTTTGTTAATGTGGTGGTATAATTTCTTTCTTTGAGTCTCACTTCAAAGTATTGCTGATAAGAATCCTCGGTTCACTGTTGGATAAGGACTTTTATTACATAAGATTAATTTGTTAAACAGTTGTTGAAGTCCAAGACGACGTCTTAAGATCATTTGTGTTTTTCCAAAAATATTTATGTCACGATAATATAAGACAAAAAAAAAACATGAAATCATCGCAATTAAGAAGCTGCATCCAGGTGATGCATGTTTCTGTTCTCAATATTAAAATGTGTATATATTCACATTGCTGTAATGCAGCGGGGACAAAGGCCCGGATTGTCCTGTCAGGTTGAACGGAGTGAGGACATGTAGGTGGAGTGTGATCTCACAAAGCTGAACTGTAATCCTTTAAAGGAAAAGAGGAAGTCACCGCTGTGTGCACAATGACTCACAATCAAAATAGATGCGATCCCTTTGTCAGCCTCATAATACGTCAGCTGCTTAAACTGTTCTGCTGTTGATAAGAATCAGTGATATAATGCTCCACTGTTAGATTTAATAGTCCCACGTGGATAAGATAGCGGTGAGTGAGTGTGTGTGTGTGTGTGTGTGAGACACGTTAGTGTATGTATGGGTCTCTTATTCCCACAGTTTCCCCTGCCTGATCTCAGCATAAACACACACACACAGACACACACACACACCGTCTGATGAGGAGGCAGCTCCCGGCATAACTTTGGACAATGGCATGTGACTCTGAGAGCATGTGGACAAAGAGAGGAAGACATTCAATAAACTGTGTTTGTGTAAAGGACATTTTGTTCAGTCTACATCTGCCTATGTGTTAATTTCTACACCAAACAAGTGTGTGTGTGTGTTTTGTGTGTTTTTGTGTAAATATCAAATCAGGTTATGAGAGTATTTGTGGATTAATTCCAGTCTGTGTGAACCGGCTGGTTTTACCCGTGTCAACCTTCTCACACTCACATGTTTCACGTTGCCGTCTGATTGGACAGGAGTGACTATCATTTCCTGTCCAGCTCCCGTCTCATTTCCCGTCTTCCTCCCTCTGTCACCCGGGTCAAATCTATACGGCTGCCTCCGCTCTCTCATTCACGGCTCACTTCCTTCAAAGACGATTTTCTCATGCAGATAACGACACTTCTTTTTCCCAGTAGAGCTCCTTTGTTTTTAAATGAGCACAGTCCAGAATTGAAGACCGTGTTAAAGTAGTGCTATACACTGATATGCACAGAAATTTAATGGAGTCTTTAAATTTGGCCCAAATTCCGTCCTTCAAGTCTCCTCCCACCAACTTTTCGTGGAAACTCGTTCTGTAGTTTTTGCGTAACCCTTCTGACAAACCAACCAACGGACAGGTGTGAAAAAACCTCCTGGGTGAATGAATGAAATGATTAACCCCCCTCCATCAGTTGTCAGATCCCTTCATGGACTGTAAACCATGAATACCACAGAAGTAGCCTGGAGATAGTCTGTTTCCCATACTGCTCTGAGATCAGAGCTTCAGACACCCCCCAGCTCTCTCTCTCTCTCCTTGGCAACTGTCCCTATTGTTTGAATAAGACAGCAAAGAAATATAAGAAGAAATACCACAATAAAATGCCTGCATATTTTTGTTCGGCCCTTTTATGAGTTGGATTTGAACCAAGCACAAGAACAGAAGGTGCCCCGACATCAGCCAGAATGTGTAAATGTATTTTTATATCCCGTTTTCCATTTTGCTGCCATTTCTTCTTTTGTGGTTCTCCCAGACGTTTGCATTGTTGGGAAATTCTTCCCCTCTTTCTTTTTTTCTGCTATTTTTGGAGGTTTTATTATTAGAAAGTTGGAGGAAGAAGCGAACAGAAATCCAATAACAACATTTGACATATGTGACATTTATTACACATCTGTCCATCCTAGAAGAAGCAGCCCTCTTCTGTTCCTCTTTCCCTCCATTCTTCCCCCATTATAGTTTTTCCTGATCCGAGTCAAGGTCGAAGTGGTAGCAGACGGTGACGCACACATTGTAAAGCCCTCCAAAGCAAATTTGTGACTTATGGGCATTGGTTTTAAAGATTAAACCCACTTGACTTTACTTGAGAATTACTGCAGTTCCTGTTACTTGTTATTAGTAAGAAAAAAACATCTGTAAACATCCTTTTTTTGTTGCCATGTCACTTTCAACCCCGGTGCAGTTTTGTAATAAATCTACATTTGACGTAAAGGAGACGGGACAGGACGAAATCCAAAAAGAGGCAGAAGAAAGAGGATGAGAGGAATCAAGGGATGACTTAGAGAGTTCGACTCCAGGCAGTGGGAGTTGATGAGGAGGAAATCCCTCTCCGCCTAAAGAGGCATCCTCCGAGGGTCTTTAAAAACACATGGGGCTGCCGTGGATCTTCAGCTTAGGACTGATAGAAAACAGATTCCTCGGCGGCACAGTTCAAACGCTTTATTCCAGAAGAATATACTGTATGTGTCCTGGGGGAGAGTCGCAGCTTGTGCATTTGAAAATTAAAGATGACTTATTGTATGTAGTTTATTAAAGAGTAACATTATACTGATTAGAAGGAAACCACATGAATTTCACTGAGGGGGCATTAAAAGTTACTTGATGAAACCGGATATTTTCTTTTACGTTCTCTCTACGCTGTTGTAAAGATTGATCTTTTATTTTCCTATTAATAAACATACAATACAAATTAAATAATGACAAATGCTCGTTTCAAGTTCCCAGAGACGGAGGTGAAGTCATTTTTGCGTCGTTGTGTGATCTTGAAAAGCGTAACGTTGATCTTCTGCGTCTCCTCTCTCTGCAGTGACTTGTCCATGCAGTGGGGTCAGCTGTCCAGACCTTACTCCTCCACCGACCGAAGCAGTTCCCTGGGCTCCATGGAGAGCTTGGACACGCCGACACCCACCGCACAGCCGTACTCCGACTCCCATAATTCCCCCGTGGACCCAACCCTCTTCAACAACAAGAGAGACTCTGCCTACAGCTCCTTCTCTGCCAGCTCAAACACCTCCGACTACGCAGCTGTGCCGCTGAAGCCCGGTGAAACCTGCTCCATGGATAACCTCCTCCAGAGCCTGGGGCCAGCCTGTCGAGACTTCCCTGGTGGGGATAACTCAACCCTGGGGAGTTCATCTACCGAGACCCCGGACGAGGCACAGCTGACTTCACACAAATCCAGGTCACTCACCAGGCCGAGGCGGAGGCCTGTGGAGGTAAAAGAGAGGCCTTCATCCTGCTGTTATGAGGTAGAGAGGAGGGGAGGAAACGTTGAGATTGTGAGAAATGGAGAAGGAGGAGCGGAGGAGAGAAAGACTAATCCTCCTCAGCCTCCAGCCAGGAAGGACAGTTTTCGGGCAACCCGGAGTCACAGTAATGCTGCTAACAAGCAGTGTGCTTCTGCTCCCGTTGAAATCTCCAGTCTGACCTCTTACTTTGAGGAAAACAAGTCGTCACTGAATGTTGAAGCAGGAATTCACAACGGCTTCTCCCCACCAGAAGAAAGTGACAAAACTGGGAATTTCACAGAGGAGACCGTAGACTCGCTCTACATGCAGAGACAGACTAAAGACGTTACACGTATCAGTTGTGACACTAGTGCTAATGAAGACTATAACATAGACGCCACCTCAGATCACCTTTCTGACCGAGTGACGACCTCCCCGGGCCCCATCACCTCGCCTCATCCTGGCTCCTTATCTGCCCAATCCTCCGTGGAGGTTCAAGAGCAGTCAGACACCAAGAACTCCTCTACGGGGCTACACCGGCACAGCGCCCCAGAGAAGCTCCTGGCTACACAACTTCAGTTACTGCAGTTTAACAGTAGCAGCTCGTCATCGGAGCCCTACACTCCGTCAATCCCTCCTGATCAGCTCTTGCCTCCGTGTAGCAGCCAGTGGTCCCAGTCCTCACACCAACCAGTGAGGGAAGACCAAGACGCTGCTCATAACCACCTCCACGCCTCTTCAAACAAGTGGGAAGGCAGCCGCTGTTCGACCCCAGGATCTGTGTTCTTGGAAGGTGATGACGGTGAATCGTGCGACAGACTCGATGGGATGTGTGTAAACGGTGGGTCCCCCTCCTCAGTTCAGCATCATCACCCTTGGGGCCGCTCGATGAGCGTACCAGGGGACCCCAGTGGATCATCAACCCGGGGAAAATTGAGCTCTGACCAAATACTTGAGAGTGATTTCGAGCCTCTCAGTGCTGCTGCCAGTATGGACACTTTACTGGAGGAGCAGAGAGCATTGGACAGAGGAATAGATGGAGGAAAAAAAGAGGAGAATGTAGAAGGAGAGGCAACGATGAAGAAGCTGAACACGTCGAGGAACCATCGACGGAACCGCCGCCGCAGCGAGCGATTTGCTACCAACCTCCGCAATGAGATCCAGAGGAAAAAGGCCCAGCTTCAGAGGAGCCGTGGCCCGGGGGGGTTGCTCTGTAGTGGGGAGACTGTCCAGGAGGAGGAGGGTCCTGACCTCCATGAAGAACAGGAAGACCCAGAAGTGCCTGCCCAGGAGAGGAGCACCACAGTTGCACTTGCCTCGTCTGTGATCCACCAAGATGTCAGGACAACAGCACCAGTTGAGAAATCCAACACTTCAAATGAACCACTCCATGATGCATTGCAAACTCAGTCAGCAGCCTACACTGAAAGCACCAACATGTCCAGGTCTGTCCAGATCCTGGACCCTGTCCTGCCCAGTTTTGGTGTCGGCATTCGAGTTGTGGAAGAACCAGCCCCCGCCGGTAAAGCCCGCCGCTGGCGTTGGACCCCTGAGCACAAACTCCAGCCAGAACCAGAACCAGAACCAGACCGACGGTGTAGAGTCTTGGATGAGAGGGTACTAGGGGTGACAGGATCACGACATGGGGTTTGTACCTATACCTCCTCCTCCACCTCCTCCCACAGTCGCACCTCTTCATGTTCTCGGATGGAGGAGACTGATATCCTTCCATTTGCAGATAGAATGAAGTTTTTTGAGGAGACGAGCAAGGGCATATCTGGGTCGAGTGTTTCAAGTCTGTCGAGTCGCAGGCAGAGGAAACCCTCTAACTGTCCTGAGCACCAGGGAGGGGAGCTCAGTCTGCACCCAACCCAAAGGAGATACTCCTACCAGGGGGCACTTCCACAGGAAAGTTCCCTGCTTTCAAACAGTATGGACACCAGGAGGCAGTCTGTGAGCACCAGCAGGGAGAGGCAGAAAGAGAAGGCGATGGAACAGGCGAGGGAGAGGGAGGAGAGGGCAAGGGAGCGAGAGCGTGAAGAGAGGTTGAGAGAAAGGGAGAGGCAGCAGGAGAAGGAAAGACAGGAGAGGGAGCTAGAGATGGAAAGGTCACGGCAGAGGGGGATGCAGCGGGAGAGGGAACGAGAGGAGAGGATGAGACAGTGGGAAAGGGAAAGAGAGAGGGAGCTTGAGCTGGAGAGAGAAAAAGAGATGGACAGGGCCAGACTCCAAAAAGAAAGAGAGAGAGAGCTCCAGAGAGAAAGAGAAGTTGTTCAGCTCAGCTCACATCAGGAGTTTCACGGCAAAGACAATCACCAAGACTTCCAACTCAACTTCCAGCTCAAGCCTGATGCGTTCTCCCAAAGCCAAGCCCAGAATCCGGCCCCGAGATCGGCCTTTTATCCGGTCTGTACCACCTCCCAGTCCCCGGAGAACCAGCAGCCTCTGCAGCTGGGATACACGGCGCGGAGCTACACACCCACAGAGGTAAGACTGCTGCGGAAACTCCATCACTTCACTCAGCAGGAGTCTGTCGTCCAGGAATCCGGATTATGAACTGGATTTTAGTAAAGCATGTTCACTGAGAGTTGGTGCTAAGCTTTAAAAACATTAACTTAGAAATTCAGTTATTTAATACGTTTTTAGATTTCTAGCTTGATTCAATCAAAGTGTCATTTATATACATTTTTAAAATGAGCTTGGTGCAGAGGAGGGAGGAGGGGCCAAACTTGGATGTTGGAGCAAAGTAGCGTCTCGGCCCAAGTCTCCTGTGGTTGAACGGCTGGTTTGTAGTCGAACCTCACGTCCTGCATGTGGTTCGAGTCTGAAATTCCCATTGAAAATTCAGCGGATCATTGAAATAGTTCATGGAACTTTGCGGGGGATTGGGCAACAGCGGCGTACACTTGTGTAAGCGATAATAGCAGCGTTGGATTTCAGCTTTGCCACAAATTGATTCAAAAAGCTCTGGGGGGGTGGGGGGGGGGCAGCCTCTGGTCTGAACTTATGGAAACTCCTGTGAACTTCTACCTGTTAGTGACCTTTTCGTTTGACGCTGAGTGAAGCCAAACCGACATTTGTTTTGGACTGAATGTGTCTTCAGATCAGCAGATCTTTCACTCCAGCTGACACCGTGTTGTTGTTTTCGCTGAAGCCTTGGGGGGTGGGGTGGGGGGGGGGCCTTAAAGCTCAGCTTCCTCCACATAGGGCTCCGTTTCAAATGGAAGGTTGTAAGTTTGATGCCACTGCGATAACCTCCGAGCCTGGAATTTCTTTTTGGTATCTGCCGCTTTCCCTTAACAAGAACAGATGTGCTGAAGGGACGACAAGGCTGAGATAAGACCTTCTACAGAGACACACACACACCAGGGAAACACACACACACACATAAAGTTTTCATATCAGAACAAAAACGCGGATATCGATTTGTACAGACAGGATTTGTATATTTTTTGTGACATTTCAAACATTTAGACTTCTCAAAGAAAAAGCAAATGTCAAAATAGGGATGAATTAAGACCTCCAGGGAAAAAAATAATAATGAAGAGACTGGCCGAAAATACCTCCCCCATCAGCCATGTCCCCACTGAGGAACACACCCACTTCCCTGCAGCAGGACGCTGTGCTGACCAACACTTTGCTCCAGATTGAAGCCTTCCCTCATTTCTTTGGTGTCAATAAGCTTTAAATCTCCTCCACAGACGTATCCCGCCCGAAAACAGGAAACGACCAAGCTCAACAGGAAATACAGCCTGTCAGAGAGGTGAGACAAACACACACATTCATAAATCAGGTTTTATTCCTTTTTGTTTTTGTCTTAACTCTGAGTTTAAGTCCGATCTGACATCGCAACACACACTTTCTCTTTCTCCATCTGATTGTGTCTAAGTGAGTCTCCGGAGACGTTAGGTGGGGTCGGCCCATTCTGCGCCGCCGGGCAGGAAACCCCACTCAGTCATGCTCGGCTGTGATTTGACTATAATGAGCTCTAAGTGTGCAGAGCAATCATCCATGCTTCAAAATGTGACCGTAATAATACGTGGTGGGACGGTGATTCCTGTATGTAGCGTGTGGAGGGGCTCTTCGGACATGCATGGCTCGTGAAGGGGGCCTCCACTTATATTTGAGGCCGGGATGCAAAAGAGAAACGCACTGTAATTTTAATTTCACTTTCTCTGGCTCCATAAAATCTCCCCACACATTCATCAAGACCCTGAAAAGCTGGCGTGTGTATGATAGAGATTAGATAAAGATGGACGACCTGATGGTTAAGCCACAGGGGAAGTCAAACTTGGGCGCGGACAACCGACACGAGCCTGGCTCACCCTGCTAAATATAATTATGCTGGCGGGGTCTAGAAATGTTGAATGATTCCTTGAATGTTAGTTAAAATGCTCTTTTATTCTGTGTTTGCTTATTTAATATATCTTTCTTCTTCTGTCACAGGGACTACCCCAGCTGGAGGCGAGAGTCCAGACCAGCAGAGAGCATCGCTCAGCCCCAGCAGCAGCTCCACCACGGTCGATGGGGCCCCCGAGACGTCGACAGCAGCAACGGGTATTCGTTCCCTCCCCCGCCAGCTCCTCTCGCGCTACGAGGACGAGCCATGTCCGAAAACGACCTCCGCTTTGACAGCAATCAACGCTGGTCGCCGTCGATTTGTGTAGCGACCAGTCAGACGCTGAGCGAGGTGGAGGAAGGAGTTTGTGGCGTCAGGGAAGGAGAAGCGGCGAGCACGGCCAGGCAGAGCAGGAAGAAGACGCCGCCTCCGCCGAGACCGCCGCCCCCAAAGTGGGAGCAGTTCCACCGTAGGCGTGCATCTCACCACACCCTCTTCTCCTCCTCCTCTTCCGCTCCTCACTCCATCCCTCCCCCTATAAACACAGCAGAGGGACACTTTTCGTCTCACTCCTCCTCATACCTCCCTCCTCCTGAGACGTCCAGGCAGAGGTCCTACAGTCTTCCCCCGGAGAGGCAGGAGGTGACGGAGGGCTGCCCCTGCTGCAGCTGCCACCAAACTCAAACTCAGGGACATCCCATTCCCCACGCCACGTCCAATCAGCTTCAGGCTCAGTTTCATGACCGCTCCTTTACCGTCACTCCGCCCAGTCCCATGTTCTCCAGACGGGCGTTCAGACCCGTAGCCCCGCCCCAGAGAGAGAGGGAGGGAAACCTGCGGCGCTTGTACAGCGGAGAGCAGGAGGAGGAGGAGGTCGTATCGTCCCTACCTTCACCACAGACGGACACGAGTGTGAGCAGGTGAGACGGGAGGAAAATCAGTTTCATTACATCAATGAATCTGACATTTATCTTTAACATGAGAAGACAGATCACAGTTTCTTTACACGAAGTTTTCACAATCTTTTGCTGTAATAGATTAAGTTTAATTGACTTTAACATATTTTCATCACCTGTGTCTCCGCAGCTCATCTGAGGTTTACGTCGACCACAGTCCCGACAACGAGAGGACGACAGCGAAGCCTCTCAAACAGCAGCAACATGTGAGACCAGGAGCCGAGTGGGAGAGATCCCCTTCTCCCAGAGTTCATAGTGAGACCGCACTTCCTCCTGGTGTAGAAAACGGAGTTTCTCCGTCTGAATCCTACTTCGCCATCGACTACGAGCGGCAGCAGCAGCAGCTCCGTGTGAGCAGAGGCTTCCAGACTGAAGAGCAGCAGAAGATCCCAGAACCGGGAACCGAATCGGAGACGACCCTCAGCCCGAGTCCCGTGCACAGCCTGGAGGCCGACCTGGACGTCCCCATGGAAACTGACATCGATGACTTCCAGGAGGAGGAGCTTCCAACAGAGGTTGAACCAATCACCAGCGAGCTCCCGTGCTTCGCTCTGCCGGTGACGGTCCTGGAGACGGACATCGACACGTTTCCGGATTCTGAGGCCTCGCCATCGGGCCGGACGAGGGCGGAGAGCAGCTCTGTGGAGGAGGAGCTGGAGACCAGTGAGGGCAGCAGAGAGAGGCTGAGCCTGGAGGAGCTGTTCCCCCAAAACAGTGAGGGGGAGTCGGGCACGGAGAGCTGGAGAGGAGCCTACCAAAGCCCGGAGCACAACACCGACAGCTTGGACAGGTAAAGGGAGGAGGAGGAGGAGGAGGAGACAGGATTTAAATCCACGTTCCTCTTGTTTGTCTCGTTGTCTCACTTTGGCCCGATGACAGACTTTTATTTATGTACTTTTATAATCACTGTGTTTCACGAAGCTGTGTCTGTTTTATCACTTCGCCTCTCGAGTTTCTTCTGCGTAAATATAATAAACTCTCCTCTCGGTGCCTCCCTCTCTCTCCCTCAGGCGTTCCGGCGCAAGCTCCAGCTGTTCGTCCTATTACTGCACGTCGGCCGCCAAGGCTCAGCTCCTGTCGCAGATGAAGGACTTCACCGACAACAGAGAGAGAGACGAGGACGACGAGCTGACATACAAGGTAACGCCGTGGTGATGTGGCGTCGACAGACGAGCTCCCTGCTCTTTTCATTTTGTGGTGTTAAAACAACTCTTTCTCCGTGTGTGGAGCAGAAGCAGCTGATGGAGAGTCTCCGTAAGAAGCTGGGGGTGCTGAGAGAAGCTCAGAGGGGTCTGCAGGACGACATCAGAGCCAACACTCTGCTGGGAGAGGAGGTGGGGCCTTTGGTTATTTACCTCTTTGTTTCTTCTGCACCAAATCAAACGCTCCCGACAGGTCAGACGTGTCACAGCAGCTCTTGTCTCTGTCCCTGTCCTCAGGTGGAGAACATGGTGGTGTCTGTGTGTAAGCCCAACGAGGTGGACAAGTTCCGCATGTTCATCGGCGACCTGGACAAGGTGGTGAGTCTGCTGCTGTCGCTGTCTGGGAGGCTGCTGAGGGTGGAGACCACGCTGGACACGCTGGACCCTGAGACGGAGCAAAATGACCGGGTGAGGAGGGAAGAAGAAAAGGGGACAGAGGACAGAGGGAGGTGTAGGAGGGATGAGTTGTTGTTAAAACATGTCTGAGACACAATAGAACACAATAAGATGAATAATTAAAGTGATTTCAAGTTAAGGGAAGAAACATGAACATTAAAAGCTGAAGAAGAAAAATCGACAAAGTTTGAACTCATCAACTCACCTCCCTGCCCTTTAGCTCCCTCTGCTGGAGAAGAAGCGTCAGCTCATGAGGCAGCTGTCGGAGGCCCAGGACCTGAAGGACCACGTGGACCGCAGAGAACAGGCCGTCAGCCGGGTGCTGGCCCGCTGCCTGTCCCCCGAACAGCACAGAGACTACAGGTACCACCCGACACCAGAAAACAATCTGACCCACATTCACCCTCATTTTATTTGGTCTAATCTTTGAAATCCGTGTTTCTATACAAAGGTTGAATTAAAGCTGATCTGTCTCTGTGTTTCAGTCACTTTGTGAAGATGAAGGCTGCTCTGCTGGTGGAGCAGAGGCAGCTGGAGGATAAGATCCGGCTGGGAGAGGAGCAGCTGAGGGGGCTGAGGGAGAGTCTGGGGCTGGGACTGGGGCTGGGGCTGGGAATGTCGATGGGATACGGACATTACTGAAGAAAGAACAATCTGAAGAGACCGAACTCCGAATCAGTCTCAAGACGAGGAAGGAACGAGGTCAAGACAGAGTCAACGTTCAGTTTCAATGTCTTCAGTTGGTTGATTGCTGAGATCTTAGGTGAGAAGATTTATCTCGTCATCATATCTTTCTTAGATATGAAGCTACAGCAGATTAGCTTAGCATAACGAGTGGAAACCAAAGGCTAGCTTGGCTCAGTCCAACCGAAGGACCGGATTTAAAGATGGACGACAGGACGGCTCCCAACGATCAACAGAAACATATCGACAGCTGATCTCAGAGCTGTGATTTCAGAGCAGAGGACGTGGACGCAGGATTTGGATCTGAACCTCGTTTTCCTCAAATTTAGAGACACCGACACTGACGCACAGTTTAATACTGAGGTTCTCGGAGCCTGAACACGTACTGTACAACCCCCCCGCTCTAAACTTTATCACACTACGTTGCCAAAGACATTTTCACTTGGTGACGGACGTGTCACTGAGACGCTGCTTATTGTTTTTTGTTTTCTTGTGTATTTAAGTCTCAGAGAACTTGGTGCTTCACACTAAGAAACGACAAAACTCTGGAAAATGTCCAGACTCAAATTTTCCGAACATTTTCCAGATTCATGTCTGAAATCGGCTTCAGTTAACAAAACACTAAAGTCACGGTCGGGACGTCCCGTCTGCAGCTTCATTAACCGTCACCGGGACGTTAGCTAAACGTAGAACATCTCTGCCGACGCCCGCGTCCACAAACACGTAAACTGTATAATCCAGCATCGTATTCTCCGTTACTGTCGTAACGTCTGTGACATGTTTCACTTTGTGGAGTTTGAGACTCCACCTGTTGTGCTGTACAGAAGACACCTGTGTTTATATTGTATACCGTGTGTATATAATGATTTGTTTTTTTATGACTGGAATTGTTTGTAAAAGAAATGAAAAGATCGGAGAGTAAAAGAAGTTTCCTGCGTTTAGAGCAGAATCCTGAGGTTGCAGTTTTTTTATCATTTGATTTCTTGCCGAGAGTTAGAAAAGAGGGTTGACGTACACAGCTGCATCCGGCGGACAGTTAGCTTAGCTTAGCATAAAGACTGGAAACCAGGGGAAACAGCTAGCACGGATCTGTTTGAACAACAGAATCTCAAAATTTAAAACACGAAACTATAAGATTTGTTTAAAATTACTGGAGAAATCTGTGGAAATTAAAAGTTGGAAAAAGATTTTCTTTTGATTCATTAACCAGCTGATGTTTGTTTGAGTCAGAAATTTAGAAACAGAATGAAAATGTTCCCGCAGGTTTCCAGTCGTTATGCTAAGCTAAGCTAACTGGGTGCTCACTAACCAAAGTGTCGCTTCAGTTAACTTGCTTCAAAATGTTTTCTCAAAGTCAGGATTTATTGTGTGAACTTGCCAAAGTCTCCTGAGCTTCACCTCTGGATCCTGAAACTTTTCTTTTTACTCACACGAAGATAAAAAATCACTTTCTCCAGCATCACTGGTTCAAAGTTCTGTTCAGAAGTTTGACACTTGTTTCTTCCTGCTGTTCTTAAACCAAACAAACCTGAACACAAGATTTCCACATGTTCTTGTTCATTCCTCTTGTGTTGTGTACATATCACGTGTTCCTGTATCATAACAGCAGCTGTTTCATAAACCGACTGGAAACCAGCGAGAAAATACTTCACTTTTTTTTTTTTGTAACTGCAAAAGAAAAAAAAAGTACCATAAATAATAATAATAGTATTTTATCTTCCTGTCTCCTGTGGTGATTTGTGCTCGGCCGGGTGAACGAGCTCTTTGTGCTGCGTCAGAAACGTGTTCCCTTCAGGGGGCCGGCTCTGGATGTGGTGGGACGGCTGAGTAAATATGGCCGGGGGCTGACGGATGATGCGTGGAGGCTGAGAGTCGTTGAGCAGCTCGGTGGGAGCTGGAGAGTCGACGCCTCCGTCATTAATACTGATGATGGAGTGTGTGTGTGTGTGTGTGTG